GGCGGAGCGCGGGCTTGGGGTAACCGCTCTGTTGGTCGACCCCCTCTCGGTATTCCCCCACGGTGTCTCCGCAGGCGCTCTCTGCAGATAGGTTCGAGCCTCCGCACAGGTGACCCGAGCGCCGCCGCACACGTCGCTCCCGCCCCTGGCGGGAGCCCCGCCTTCGCAGGTAACCTGCGTGGCCGCGGCGTGAAAGTCGGGCGCGGGAGCTCGGAGTCCCAGGTGTGGTCGCCTCCCCGCCGCACGCCCGGCCCCGGAGCTCGGTCCCCACGGAGCCCCCGGGCCCAGGAGGTCCCTGACGCTCCATGTCATCCTTTCTCGCTCCTGTATGAGTACCTACCTGTTTGAGCCAGGAAATTGTGGCCGATCCGCTGATGGAACCGGAGGTCCGACCCTCCCCTTCTCCTCCAAATGGATTTTGCCACTCTGCCCCCTAGGGGTCAATGGCAAGGTCCTTGGTGAAGAAACAGACACCTTCCAGGAAGATGCTCAAGACAGAAAACCCATTTCTTTTTTCTTGGGAAAAGGCAGAAGGATATTATTTCGTTTGCTCATTCGTTCTGTGGTACATTGGGTCATCATGAGTCGGAACAAGGTTTATTCAACAAAATTGTATTAAGCACCGTCTTTGTGACAGGTTGGGGTCATGAGGGTCACGGGAGACATCAAGACAGGGGCTTCGATCCTCTCGGAGTGCTCAGTCCAAGGGTCACCACCAACCAGACACCAAAGCCACTGCCATGGAGTTCACTGTGACTCACGGTGACCCTGTAAAACGGTAGAACTGTCCCCTGTGGGTTTCTGAGGCTGTAACTCTTGCGAGGAGTAGACAGCCTCATCTTTCTCCCACAGAGCAGCTGGTGGTTTCAAACTGCTGACCTTGTAGTTAGCAGCCCAAGGGGCAGAGTAAAGCTGTTCTATAGGATCTCTAAAGCCTTCAATTGTTATGGGAGCAGATAGCCTCGTCCTTCTTCCTCAGATCATCTGGTGGGTTTGAACTGTCCAGCTTGCAGTTAGCACTCCAACACTTACCTGCGGGACCATCAAGGTCTTTGTGGTCACCACCCAACGTAGTCATAGAATATAAGCCACAGGTGCATTTTAAGTCCTTACATGAAAATAGGATGCAGTTGATTTTAATGACTGAAAGCAATATATCCAAAAGATAAGAGCCCCTGCTGGTGTCATGGATTAGCAGTGCGGTTGTTCACTACAAGGTCAGCAGATCAAACCCATCAGCTGCTCTGCTGGAGAAAGATGAGGCTTTCTCTGCTCTGGTAAAGATTGACAGCCTTAGAAACAAAAAGGGGCAGTTCTACCCTGTCATATAGGGCACTGAGTCAGAATGGACCAGATGCCAGTGAACTAGTCATAACCAAAATATGTCCAATACCTCCAAAATATACATGCATGCTGCTTCCGTTTAAAATTTGTTAGTGAAAATTAGATTTTAAAAATTAAGTCCAAGAGGTATTAACAAAGTTGGTCATTTGTCTTATAGACTCCAGTGGCAGACAATTGGAAACCACCCAGTGTTCCTTACTGGGGAATTGAATAATGGTTCAGCCATTGCAAAATGAGCCATAGCTGTGTACACGGGGCTTGAAAAGTTCCATTATCTTTACCTCTTTCCATAAGCTTTTTTAAGTCCCCTTGTATATAGAAACATGAGTTAATATCTAAACTGTATTAAGCAAAGGGGAAAAGTGAACCACCACTAGCATAAGGCAAAAATAATTTTTCATCTGTCCTTGTGTGTGTACTGAAACCGGTAGAAAGGCAACCTGGGTAGCAGGGTTACCTGTGGAGAAGAGGAGAGAGGGACAGGTGTCAGGTTGGAAAGACAACTTACTTTCCATTATATGCTCCCAGGTACATTGTGAATTTTGTTACTCTCCCCATTAAAAAATGTTTGATGTAATGGAGGAGAGTGGGCTATGCAATCACTGTAAGAATTAAATGGAAATAATATTTGTAAAATGCCTGCCTGTCACTTTACACCTATCAGTCCTGGATGCCCTCCCTGCAAGAGGGCCACAGAACGTTCATGGGGGAAATGGTATTTCACTCCCAAGGTCCAGGACACTTCTTCCACTCAATATAAATTCATCTCGCCCAAACTTTTGAGACCAAAGAGTCAATCCTGTCCCTCACAACAATTTACATATTACTCGAGAGCTAGAAATCCAGTTTTCTTTTATTTATTTTTTTAGCATTTTATTGGTGGCTCATACAACTCTTATCACAATCCATACATATATCAATTGTATAAAGCACATTTGTACATTCGTTACCCTCGTCCTCAAAACATTTGCTCTCCACGTAAACCCCTAACATCAGATCCTCATTTTCCCCCTCCCTCTCCACTCCCCCCTACCTCATGAACCCTTGATAATTTATAAATTATTATTTTGTCATATATGTCACTGTCCAACATCACCCTACACCCACTTTTCTGTTGTCCATCCCCCAGGGAGGAGGTCACATGTAGATATTTGTCATCGGTTCCCCCTTTCCACCCCACTCTCCTACCCTCCCAGTATGGCCACTATCACCACTGGTCCTGAAGGGATCATCTTCCCTGGATTCCCTGTGTTTCCAGTTCCTATCTGTACCAGTGTCCATCCTCTGGTCTAGCCAGATTTATAAGGTAGAATTGGGATCATGATAGTGGGTGGGGGGAGGATGCATTTAGGAACTAGAGGAAAGTTGTAGGTTTCATCGTTGCTACGCTGCACCCTGACTGGCTCCTTTCCTCCCTGTAACCCTTCCGTAAGGGGATGTCCAATTGCCTACAGATGGGCTTTGGGTCCCCAATCTGCACTCCCCCGCATTTACAATGATATGATTTTTTTTGTTCTTTGATGCCTGATACCTGATCCCTTCAACACCTCGTGATCACACAGCCTAGTGTGCTTCTTCCATGTGGGCTTTGTTGCTTCTGAACTAGATGGCTGCTTGATTACCTTCACGCCTTTAAGACCCCAGATGCTATATCTTTTGATATCCGGGCACCATCAGCTTTCTTCACCACATTTGCTTATGCACCCATTTGTCTTCAGTGATTGTATTGGGGAGGTGAGCACACAATGATAGGAATTTTTGTCCTTTTGATACCTAATAGCTGATCCCTTCTGCACCTCGTAATCACACAGGCTGGTGTGCTTCTTCCATGTGGGCTTTGTTGCTTGTTTACCTTCAAGCCTTTAAGACCCCAGATCTTAAAGGGGTCTTTAGATAAGATAAAGAAGATAGATAAAGGGGTCTAAAGATAAAGAAGATAAAGCTATCTTTTGATAGCTGGGCTCCATCAGCTTTCTTCACCACATTTGCGTATGCACCCTCTTTGTCTTCAGCGATTGTGTTGGGAAGGTGAGCATCATGGAATGCCAGTTTAATAGAACAAAATATTCTTGCCTTGAGTGAGTACTTGAGTGGAGGTCCAATGTCCATCTGCTACTTTAATACTAAACCTATAAATATATGCACATAAATCTATTTTCCCATCCTCATATATAAATATATTTACACATATACATGCCTTATTTAGACCTCTATAAATGCCCTTTGCCTCCCAGCTCTTTCCTCTATTTCCTTTTACTTTCCTCTTGTCCCACCATCATGCTCAGCCTTCATTTGGGTTTCAGTAATTCCTCTCAGTTACATTACCCTTGATCACACTCTACCAGGCCTCCTGCACCCTCCTCCACTCTCTCTTCCTCCCCCTTCATTTGCTCCCGTGTGCTCTGATCAGACATGTCCCACTCCCTGAGCTGCAGCTTCCATGCTGTCCTCTGAAATAAATTCTTCGGGGGGGCATATAAATCTATTTTATCTTATAAAAATGTTTTACAAAAATGAAATCACCGTTATCTGAATAAGATGCTTTAAAATTTTTCAGTTTGACTTCAGAGCCACATGGAGGTATGTGCCCCAAGAGCTGCATATGGGCTTGCAAGCTGCAGTTTGCTGACCCCTGGTCTAGCCTATTAATGTAGCTTGGCCAGCCTGGAAAACTGTCTCTTCTCACGAAGCAACGGGGAGCATTTCCAAACAGTGACCCCTGCTCCTGGGATGGACATGACTCCTCATCGTTATTGTTAGTGGCCATCCCGTTGACTCCAAGTCATGGTGACCATGCATGTGCAGCGTGGAGCTGCTTCACTGGCTTTTCCAGGCTGGACCCTCCTGGAAGCAGATCCCTGAGTCTGAGGCATCGCTGGGCGAACAGCCAGCCTCCTGGACAACCGTCCTTCCTTTCCATGAACGTCCTTCAAATGACAGAACAAGCCTAGTTTACTCCTCCAGCCTTGCAGCCAATTAATTAGGTCCTGCTGCTGCCCACCTGGGCAGCTCTGGTGGTGTAGTGGTTACACGTTGAGCTGCTAACCATAAGGGCAGCAGTTCGAAACCACCAGCCGCTCCTCGGGAGGAAGATGGGCTTTCTATTCTTGTAAAGAGTTAACGTTTCAGAAACTCACAGGGGCAGTTCCACCCTGTCTTTATAGGGTTGCTATCAGTTGGCATCGACTCCATGAGACTGAGTGGGGTTTTGGGGGGACGGGGGGAAGGGGACGAGAAGGGGGCTGACTGCTCAACTAATTGACTGGGAACCCTGGTCGTAAAGTGTTTACACATTGGGGTGCTAACCACGAGGACCACGGTTCAAAACCACTAGCTGCTCCATGGGA